AATGCGCCTGCCTGTGACTATGTTTCCGAGCACATACTACCCGAATATCTTTAAGGTACGACTGAATAGGTATTTTCTGGGTGAGCTCGTTCCATCGTAGATCCTATTTTTTCCCCAGGGCTAGATAGTGGTTAGGAGTAACTCCATTTACTTTAATAATCTCAGTACAGAGTACTAAAAAATCGATCTCAAAAGTCATTAATTCCCTAGTTTGTCACTCTTAGAGGTGGAATATTTTTTCAAATTTAAATGGAACGATCTACTGAGGTACTCTCTTCCTAACAAAAAAAAAAGAATCATGAAAATCGGTTACAAAAACGGAGTTGTCGAATTGCCTCCTTTTTTTGAATTTAGAGTACCTAGTCAGAGGAGGCACACAACAATTTGGGCACTATGTCACGAGGACACAATTTCCTCCAATCCATATATCTGTAGATGAGTAGTAAAGGACCTTAAGTCTATATTATAGAATTTAGATATTGAAAACTGTTAAGTCAACCGTCGTCACAGAAACGTCGGTTTTTTTGAAAAACCAAATATACGCGATTTAAATCCGGAAAAATCGTTTCATTTCCTATGTGTAACAATCGCGAAAATCTAAGCACTCAAAATTTAGATGTTGTTACAAACATTGCTTTAGAATGCTAAAAATTACGATGTTATGCCATGCCACCTTTTTATCACTTTCTTTACTGGTTCCTGGCCACTTATGCTTTCTTTTCCGTCCATTCTTTTTACGTTGGTTCGTTCAGTCATCACTCCCATCAAAATTTTTGAAGCGAGAGGATGTGCTTATTAATCATCATGTAAAACTTAACTTCACGTAATTTGATTGTTTTTAAAACATTAGATACATATGCGTATATAGTAAGTATATCCTGGTAGTGCTTCATTGATTTTTTGGCTGACTTTGTTACGGACTTTTTCCTTTCATTTTCTACCTTTAATAAATTTATGTAAACCGAGCCCTTCTCTTTTACTTTCGCTAAGGCTACACCACAAAACTATGCGTAAACAAACAGACAAACAATTTGTGAAATTTATCCTTCAATCTTTACGTTTTCTTCAAATAATGTAGCAAACCATCAAATAAATTTAACAAACTTGCCCGTAATCCACACTCGGTCATCTCCTAGTACTGCTATAGGTGTACATTAATACAGTTAATACGAATAGGTAGTCATATCTCTTTGTAATTTATAGAATGAGTAAGAACGCCGATAAAGCGTTTCTGGGGGCTCTAGTACTATGTATTAATTAAGTAAAAAAGAAATAAAATTTGACCCAGAAAATTGGCTTATTTTTCATTTTTGTATATACATTAGGAAAAAAAATGGATTGTAAAGAGTTCAGATGAGGAAGTTTTGGAAAGGATTGGTGAGGAGAGAAGTCTTTGAAATGCAATAGAGAGGAAAAGAGGAAACATGTTTGGACATTTGTTGCGTACTGACGAGAGTGATAATTGAGGGGAGGATAGAAGGTAAAAGAAAGAGAGGAAGACCAAGAATGGCGCATAGTGAACAAATAAAAAACAAGATCAAAGAGAATAGCTATAAAGAGGTCAAGGGACTGGCTATGGAACCGTGAGGAGTGGAGGAGGCTACACTGACTAGAGTCTGGCTCTTAAACAGGATGAAAATGATATATATTGATAGAACCATTACGTGTGAAAATATGGAAAATAGAAAAAAATATACTGTGCACGGAAATCAAAACATTTGCTATATTCGCAAGTTTATTGATATACCAACCTTTTGTCATTCATTTCGTTGGAATAATTATATAACTCGATATCTTCGTTGATTTTTCCGAGGAATTGATATTGATGTTATTATCGTCTTGCTGACAATTTCAAAACGTGGAATGGAAAAAGGAAGAATATTTATTATACGAAAGAATGAAGATCATTTATAGATTAAGTTAGAATTAAAACACATTACGTTTATTCAGTAAACAAAGTAAACATGAAGTTGATGACTTAGATTAAATTTTTAAATACAAAGATCGACCATTAAGAAAGAATTTCTTCAATCCGGCTAGCTTTGAACCAGTGTCTTCCAAACAACAAACAAACCGTGCCAGAAGCTATGCCAACTCAGCACTGGAACGAACTAGCGGACCTTACGATTTTTTCTATTTGGTCGTTGCAGATTTTTGTTTTTGGTTTTGAACGACTTTTTTGTCGTAGCGCCATCTGTGAGAAATCTATTTCTTCACTCAGACTACCTCTGTGGCCGAACGGTTACCATGACTGCCACGCAGAGGCCCAGGGTTTTATTCCCATGCCGAGAGAAATACGTCGCGAGGACTAATTTCACAAAAAAAAATGAATATCAATTCAATAACAATTTAATTAATACAGTGAATAGCGACATCTCTCGCCAGGACTGGTAAAGGTACTAACTGGGTGATAAATCTTTCATAGATTTCTCATAGATGGCGCTACAACTAAAAAGTCGTTGAATAACCAAATACAAAGACACGACGCAAGCACATAGAAAAATTCGTGAGGTCCGTTGGTTCGTTCCGTGGCTTAGTTGGTATAGCGTCTAGCACGGTATGCAAGAAGACGTCGGTTCGAATCCGACCGGATCGAAGATAATTTTTTCTGAGTGTTCGATCTTTGTATTAATAATTATAACATACTAGTGGAGTAATTTCACAAAAAAAATTGAATATCAATTCAATAAAAAATTAATTTACACAAGAGTTTATCACCGTGTATGCATATCGGTATGAGATTCTAGAAGCAGTACAGCTCCTTGTGAAAGAATTCGTCCTGAATAGCACTGTCACCTTACCTATTTCTGCCGCTTAACAGTAATGTGGCCATAACTACGTTCCAGTTTTGATGGGTAGGGTGCTGGTGAAATTATTAGCACTTAGGAGTTATCAACTTATATTTCAGGGTAACGGGCGCATTGGCAGTGCCCTTCAGATATTAAAACGTTTTTTTTTTCTTTTTTTTTTAATCATTGCGTGATTGTAGCAATAACGAATTTTGAATCACTGTGATCCGCCTTGTGGCATACAAAGTTTTCTTAATTTTTATGTAATACTCATGCACTAATTTCCAATAAAGAAATTGCAATAGAGATGATTTTTCCTTACGACAAAATGTCTCTTACAACATTTCAAATTTCCAACATCGATATAAGGGTAATAATTTCGTGGATGTATCGAATTTCGAATTGTCGTAAGCGACATTTTGTATTAAGGAACATTTTCCATTACGACAAAATATTCCATAAAACATTTTACATTTAAATATGAAATTTGACTTTTCGTAAACCGTCATCTTAATTTATTTGAGTTCGTCACACGGGCTGAAAACTAGATCATGTAAAATTGCTATACTTCACAAGAGTGTAATAGCTACGAAGGTCTACAACAAACTTCCACGTGAGTTAGTATTTTCAAATTTTTAAAATGTGGAAGACAACTATCTGTTTTTTTCAAACCGCATATAACTCGAATACATCTCTTCTTGAATAGATCTTCTTCTGAATAGATCTTTGTTATTTAAAGCTGTGAACGATACTGCAACTAATTTGGACAGGTTACCGCTTACCATCACACGCACGATTTGTTCCTTTCGTCACTTGGTACTGTAAAAAAAGAGATCTTTGGTGTTCGGCTAATGGTGTTTTAGGGTTTACGGCCAGCGCTGATACAACATAGATACAAGGAACGTAGACTAGATATAAGCAGGTAATCATATATACAACGGTATGACAGATCATCGCACCTAAAGCACCGGCACGTTATGATGTCCGCTTGACGTTTGTCCGCTCATCAAGTTTCGTATTAATTCATAACTACGTTGAAGGAGCTAATAAATGTACATTATTATCAATAGTGACCTACAGTAAGATTTAAATGATGTTCAATTTTACGACACAACTTTGTTTTTCGAAATTCAAAATTCTTAAAAATTAATTCTAATACGATCATCAGTTATAGGATTGCTGTCCAGGGGCCTTAATACGAACTCTAATTACGATTCAGTTTAGGACGTAAAATGAATCGTTGTGAGACAGC